AACGTCCTGGTATACGAGTACTTCCATGTATTCATTGTGGAATGCCATTCTCTTGTCACTGGCTCTGTGGTGGTCAGTGTTTTTTTAAATGAATTTGCTGCAGGTCCTACCCAGCCCTGACTGCTTCTATGCTTTGCAAAACACTGCAGTGCCACATTTGGTGATGCTGGCTGTGACCGGCATATTATACCAATCAGCTACTCTGCTCAGGGCAACATCCCGTGTCTACTTGCAGTGAGTCTACTTGCAATGCCAGTACAGTGCCACTGCTGCAGCAGAACATGGTCTGGAGGCACAAAACGTAGCAAACTTGAAGCAGCTAAGCCAAGTCTGGGTCTGGCTGCTGCTTGGAAGTAAGATGCTTGGAACTGAGAGCCATTTGTATGCCATCTTATGTTTCATGCAAGAAAGGTATAAAATAAGCAATTTTTTTCCATCTGCAGAAGCTCATAGGAACCTCACATGCTTGCTGTGCAGTGGCTTTAGTTCCTCTGTGAATTCCTTTTATATATATATATATATATATATATATATATATATATATGAATGAATATGATGAGCAAAATTAGATTCCTATCATGGTGCTTAAAGAAAAAAAGATTCCTGTTATTTACAAGTTCAGGAGATCTCTTCAAGGCCATCCACTGTGACCCCTCTCTAATTTAGTTCATGAAACTGCAGCTGCTTAAATAGTTTCTTTCCCTTAAATTAGCCTGACTTCCAGCTATTCTCCTGCTGCCCATGCTTTCTGAATTCTTGTTGCACAGCTGACCCCTCTGCAGCACTTTTGCAGGCAATGCTCAAGAGCACTAATAGCGAAGAGTGCTAATAGCAATAAAGTATTTGGAGAGAGAGAGAGAGAGAGAGAGAGAGAGAGAGAGAGCGAGCAGATTCTTCTGCTTCTTTGTGGGTTTAATGAGATAATTTTGCTAATGGAGGTGCACCGGCTTGAAGTCAGCCAGTGAAAGGCAAGGCTGTTGTGCAGCCATCCCGATGATGTGCTGGGCTCACATCTGTCTACTGGGAAGCTCCATTAAGGAAATAAAAGATTAATAGAGCTCTTGGTTTTCCAAAGATAACAATAAGAATCCTCTGGGTGCAGCTGGAAAAGATACTGAAAAACAGTATCAAGAGATAGAGAGAGGGAGGGAGGGGAGGGAGGGATGCAGTCTTTATGAGCTGCCTGCTGCAGATCCACCCAGAACATCAAGACGTTTGGCGACACACAAGTTCCGCTCCTACACAAGTCACCAGGGCAAAGCTGGGCAGGCAAACTCACTCTGTTGCTTTCTAAGAGCTTTAACCAAGGCCCATGCACACCCCTAGTATTTAGTGTAATGTAGCTCCATATATGGGACGTGGGTGGTGCTGTGGTCTAAAACACTGAGCCTCTTGGGCTTGCAGATCGGAAGGTCGGCGGTTCGAATCCCCGTGACGGGGTGAGCTCCCGTTGCTCGGTCCCACTCCTGCCAACCTAACAGTTTGAAAGCACGTCAAAGTGAAGGTAAACAGTGTTTCCGCGCGTTGTAGCAGCTTAATCATGCTGGCCACATGACTCAGAAGCTGTCTGCGGACAAATGCCGGGTCCCTCGGCCAGTAAAGCGAGATGAGCGCTGCAACCCCAGAGTTGTTTGCGACTGGACTTAACTGTCAGGGGTCCTTTACCTTTTTAGCTCCATATAGCTTTTTGCTCGTGTTCACAGATGCTGGCTCTTTATTAAAAGTTGGCAATAACAGTTTCTCCAAACAATCAGGCACACTACCCAGTGTCCAGTGTCAGGTTGTGATACCGAGGTAAAGGTAAAGGTACCCCTGCCCGTACAGGCCAGTTGTGTCCAACTCTAGGGTTGTGCGCCCATGTCACTTAAGAGGCCGGGGGCCAGCGCTGTCCGGAGACACTTCCGGGTCACGTGGCCAGCGTGACGAAGCTGCTCTGGCGAGCCGGCACCAGCGCAGCACACGGAAACGCCGTTTACCTTCCCGCTATAAAGCGGTACCTATTTATCTACTTGTACTTAGGAGTGCTTTCGAACAGCTAGGTGGGCAGGATACCGAGGACTTGTCCACAAATGGAATTTACTGTGTGTTTGCATTCCCATTTAATTGCCCTCCAACAGCACCAATCTTGAGGCTGTTCCACTGTGAATTTGAGTTTACATGGCAGTATGGGGATTATAGGGTAAACAGAGCTCTAAACCACTCTACCCAGGGTCATAGATCCCCACGCCCCCTGTGCTTTTGAGTGGGTGGATCTGCTGCCACTTTCAGCCACTCCTCTTTCCATGCCCACTACTTCTCAAATGCTTTCATTTCTTTTCCAGCTGCGCTCATATAGCTATTTCCAGCGTTCTCCTGAATGGAGCCATAAATATATATTCCTTTGATCTCTCAAGATTTACACAAAACCAGAAAACTGTACAAGCAAACTACATTAAAAACTGTGTTTTGAGAATTTACCGTTGCCTGACTCTGTGCTTTTCCACACCTCTTGGGCAGGGATCTGTGCACATGCCTGGTTGGTACTTAAATTGTTGCTGGGGTGCCCATGCTGCTGACATATCCCCATGAGCTGTCTGGTGCGGCTGGGCTGAACAAATGATGATTAAAAGCCAGTGCTGCATTTGCCTTAGCATGTTTTGCAGCTAACCACCTCCGCCCGTGATTACTGAACTGCCTCAGGGCCGTCTGCCTTCCGCTGCTTCTCCCCACTTCCCTGCCTCACCAGTATGCAGCTCATGTTACTATGAAGATAAGGAGGAATTCAACGTAGCACTAAGGAGAATGTTTTCATCAGTGCAAGCATTTCTGCTGGTCTGACAGAACCACCCCCCTCTCCTCTACTCTGTGTTGTTCTGATTATTCCCTCGGGAAGTGGGGGGGGGCATGTTGGGGGAGGAAAGGAGGGAAGCCCCATTGTGGTAGTGGGAGTCCTTGTGTTGGCTTTTGCTAGCACACCAGGTTTGCTGAATCTGGCTCAGTGTCTGGAGTGCAGAAGAACAGGGTAAAATGAGGCAATCCCTCCCAAACAGTTTCTCACAGCCTGGCATCATTCACCATGGTCTAGTCTTTTTGAGTGTTGGGTGTCTTCTCTCCCAAGCACCTTTGCAGCTTCCACTCTAATGGAAGCAACTTGTCTAAGCCCTGAGATCCACCAAAGCCCTACTCCAGTGTTTCCCAAACTTGGGTCTGCAGCTGATTTTGGACTACAACTCCCATCATCCATAGCTGGCAAGACCAGTGGTCAGTGGTGATGGGAAATGTAGTCCAAAAACATCTGGAGTCCCAGGTTTGGGAAACCCTTCCCTACTCTTTTCAGTCGGAGAGGCAGGTGTAAGCATCTCTGATGACTATGGTGAGCGTGGGGCTCCTCCAGCACCTTTCAGCATGAGACCTTTAATTAAGCAGCTCAGATCAGAGCATTTTTGACAAACATTGCAGGATCTGAAGCTGCCTGGCAGCCTTTCATCCCCACTCTTGACAGAAGAAGATCTTTTCAGATGCTGACGTATTGATCTGAACTTTGAAAGCAGCCCTTCTTCCTCAAGCTTGAGACTGACAGTTCTAATTTGCAACATAAATCACTCACTGAGCCTCCCATTCCCAAGTTGTGGACTCCTGGTAATTGATGAAGAAAACATTAAATAGCCCCCAATGGGCCAGCGTTTTACTTTCCACGGAAGGATAATATTCCCTAGAAAACACCCTTCTCATCTCACCAGGTAACTTTCCAGCTTTCCTTCCGAGACACTCTTGTGCATCTCCACATCCTCTAGAGCTTGTATTTTTTCAGCCCCAGTGATTTCCTACATGTTGATAGCTAAACTGGAATGAAATGGATTTATTTTGATCCATAACATAAAAAATTGCAAGTGTCAGTTTCTTCAGAGGAGAGGCTGCATATTTTGTACTTTGTCTTTGCTAATAAAGCCAACGAAAATGGAAAGCTGGAATATTTGCAGTTGTCAAATATGCCACAGATGAATGATGTGTCTGCAAAGGACAAATGTTATTTTCAGCTGGTTCCATGGCATGTTCATAGAGGAAATTAATTACATGGGGGAAAGAAAAGAATACCACTAAGGAGATAAAATCCATTTGGTGACAAAAATTAACTTTCCTCTCTTCTTTGGAGATACTCTCTCCCCCTGGTTCTCCTATGCTCACTTTCTAGCTACCCCCCCTACCCAAAACAGTCTTCACAGAAGAAGCAGAAGCCACAGGGCTGATGTGAGCTGTAGTCCAAAACAACTGGAGGGCACCAGGTTGGTGAAGGCTGGTTTATGTTCTCAAATGAAACGAGGGTTCTCACATGCCAGGGGCAAAACTAGGCTTTATTTCACCCGGGTCAAAGACCCAGTTTGGCATCCCCCTCCACGTACACACACACACAATAGGAGCCCCAATTGCACCCGGGGTAAAAAAACCTGGCCAGCCACGGTACTGCACATACTTAGCATTCTGTAATACACAAACAGGAGAAACATGAATGCAAAGGAGGAGCTAGCGCTGCTCAACGCACAAGCACCCCCAATTGGATTGTGTTCAATTATCATTTATCATCTGATTCAGAAGGGAGAGGGAAAGAACAGAGGAGAGAGGATTGAATCCAGGATAACTGCACAATGGGGGGGGGGGGGACTTATACATATGCAAACAATTCCTGTTCATACGCACCCAGGGAGGTGCACATTAGCATTTACATTGTATTGATTCATGCTGCAACCAGAGAATGGTACGCAATGTATGTTATGCTCCAACAGGAATACAGAAACATAGAATGCTGCCTTATACTAAGTCAGGCCATTGGCCCAACTAGCTCAGTGTTGTCTACGCCAGAGGCGGAGAACCTATGCTGGACTTCCATACATACAGCTTCCATCATACCTGATGACGGGCAAAACTAGGTGGGGAGCAGGAATTCAACAACATATGGAGGGCCACAGGTTTCCTACTCCAGTCTACAGTGGCTGATGGCAATCTTCTAGAGTTTTGGACCTGCCTGGAGATGCTGAGGATTGAACCTAAGACCTTATGCATGTGAAGCAGATGTTCTGCCAATGAGCTATCAACCTTCCCCAATCACAGCATTTGTCCTATGATTTCCTTGACAATGGGGACCACTGGGGACCAGTTGGCACACAGCAAATTTTGTAGACAGCTGTCACATTAACAGTTAAATGTGCATAGCACTGCTAGATTTATTGCACACTGTGCTGCAAGCTATCTGTGGAAAAGTGTGATGAACAAACAATGATTGAATGAATGAACTGGGCTGCATGAGCATACAACGCCCTCAGGCAGCTGCGAGGGCGCCAGAAGTGTCACCACTCACACCTTCCCTGGGCCTGGGACCCACTATTTTAATTTCCTACAATGTCTTGGATTGATAGTACATTAGGAGCACTGTGGGAAATAAAGATGGCGGTCCCCAGTCATTCAGTGGTAATCAGATTGCTACTGCTACCACCATATAAAACTTGTCAGGGCTCATCCCCTGTGGGGGTGGATAGCTCAGCTGGTTAGAGTGTGGTGACGACAACACCAAGGTTGTAGGTTCGATCCTCGTAAGAGAAAGCTGCATATTTCTGCATTGCAAGGGGTTGGACTAGATGATAATCAGGGATCCCTTCCAACTCTATGATTCTATGAGATCCGTTTAGGAGGGGCCTATTGACATAGGGTGATGCCCACCATAAGGCACCTTGTCAATGGCCCCCTCAAATTCTGGAATAAAAGAATGAATGTGAGGAACCAGAAGTGAAAGGGTGGCCCAGAGGGAATGACTGCAACTCAATATTTCTTGTAACCTGGGGAAGCAGGATACCAACAACACACGTGAATTGATTGTAACCTTCCCTGCTTAAGTAACTCTGTGTAAACAGCATTCCCAAATTTTCATCTTTTGATTCCCCAGATAAAATATAAGCTGCATTATATCTACTTGCACAGGACGAGGCTGTTGTGCTGAATAATGAAGATTTCTGCCTCACTGTGTCGTCAATTTGCATTTGTGAGACAGGGAACTGATGCGAAGTAAAATTTGCAAGAGTCATCATAACCCTTTGAAACCTAGTAGGCAGTTTCTTGGGTCTAATCTTTCAGGTCATTTGGCATTTTAACAGTTTTTAATATGCCTAGTGCCCTGTGCAGGCAACTGACAAATCCTCGCCAACTTAGACCACCAAGGTTCAGCAAAGAATAAGACTGCAGTGCCACTGATGGCTGCATAACAGGCCGGAATTGGGTGGGTGCTCTAGCGGAAGGGAAAGCGTTGCCTACTGACATCCTCTTCTCGGCAGCAGCCCAAGAAACAGAATCCCTCTTCCTTATTGGTTTGGGCAATGAAGGCAGCAATCCTATGCACACTTCCTGGGGAGTAGTTCCCTTACTAATTCTCAGTAAATATGCACAGCATTGCACTGTCAAGCTTCAATCCTAGGTTCAATTTGAGAACAGAAGCTCACAACCTGTGGCTCTGCAGCTGCTTTCAAAGCAATGGTGTGAGGCTGCTTATTACATGCCAGGCAGCTCCTGATGCAATACTGCTTTAGGGAGAGGTCCAAAGGTGAATCTGATGAAAGAAAAAGTAGCGCCTATGGCTACTGTTAAAACATACCATTATGACAGTGATTTGATTGCAGGCATTAGCAAGGAGTGATGTTTATTTCTGAGCTGTGAAAGGCTTAACTGGTGGTTTCTGCTGATCAAGATGTTAAGCTGAGGGCACACAAATAGGTAATTTTTTTTCTTGATCAGTTGGTAACCCTAAAAAAATGCAATGGCTTATGTATCTGCTTCTGTCTGTTTTGTGGGGAAAAGACAGGTGCTCAATGGGTGCTCCCTCAAGTAATTACTCCTTTCTCCCCCTCTTGGTAGATTCAGTTAAACTATTCGAAAGCAAAACTCTAGATAGAAGTAACACATGGTAATGAAACGATTGGGAAGGTGTCACAAGGTACATGTTTTTGCCTAAGGGAAGAGGAAACCTGCCAGGGAAAAAGTTGGAACAAACCCCAGCAAGAGGCTGAGCAGGCAGATTCAAGAATGATAAGATAGGAAATAATAGCTTTAAACTACAGCTGAATAGATTTATGTTCCCATTTTCAATGGTGATTTAGTGGTGCATTAAGCAGTTTAGGGAGGTTTTGCAGTGTTTTCCTCCAGAATATTGAGTAGCAGCTTAGCAACTAACTTGTCCAAACATTAAAACAAAAAAGAACAATCAGAGATGCTTTAAGCATACTGTTTTAAGGTGGTGGTGGTGGAGTCATAAAATAAGTGGCTCTGGTGTTCTTTGCCATTTTTCTCTCTCTCTTGATATTCTGTTTTATACAGCACCACGTTCTCATACACTGCAGCCACAGCCACTGCATGGAAGGCAGCATGAATGGTTTCTGATACAAAACTCAACACAGTGGGAAGGAAGTGTGGAAGGAAGCAAAGAAGAAAGGGAAGGAATGTTAAATAGTAGGTTTTTGTATATGGGAAACAACGGGATGCACCTGATGTATTCATACCCAACAATTATTTAGTAAAACCTACAGAGCAACAATGGGACGCGGGTGGCACTGTGGGTTAAACCACAGAGGCTAGGACTTGCCGATCAGAAGGTCGGCGGTGCGAATCCCCACGACAGGGTGAGCTCCTGTTGCTCGGTCCCTGCTCCTGCCAACCTAGCAGTTCGAAAGCACGTCAAAGTGCAAGTAGATAAATAGGGACTGCTCCGGCGGGAAGGTAAACGGCGTTTCCGCGTGCTGCTCTGGTTCGCCAGAAGCGGCTTAATCATGCTGGCCACATGACCCAGAGCCAGCTCCCTCGGCCAGTAAAGCGAGATGAGCGCTGCAACCCCAGAGTCGGCCACGACTGGACCTAATGGTCAGGGGTCCCTTTACTTTTACTTTTACAGAGCAACAATATTTGGTATATGAGAAGAACGTAAGCAGTTTCACTGAATGGTGTTGTGGTTGCTGCTTATTTTGGGCAAAATTGGCCAGGCTTTTTGTAGTTTAGGTTAAAAAAAAGCATTATTTTTTATTACGGTCACATGGGCTGCTAACATGAGTCCACAACAGTAGGTAGGCAGTGGTCTGGGCTAGTTTGCACAACACAACACAACACAACACAACACAACACAACACAACACAGTATGCTAGACTTCGGCTTAGCCAGACTGTGTTGAGCTTGTAGGCTCCCAGAGAGGTGGGGTGCAAAACTGCTGCAAGCTCCTCTCTGGAATACCACATGCTTGCGTGGTCATGCAGACATTGTGCATTTAAAAAATAAATAAATTAAGACATTTCAATGCTGTCCTCCTCACATGTTCAGCACAACTGCTGCAAGTGCAGAAAAGGCTGGGTTTTCATTAGACGTTTGCAATGTTTTTTCCTTGAGAAAATGTTTCTCTCCCCCCCCCCCCGCTCTTTTGATGCTCAGTAGTGCCACTGAAGGTCAGTTCTAATGTGGGGTTGCAGACAATATTTGTTATGGGCAGAAGATTTTCTCTAATGAAAGTCAGTTTCAGGGTAAGCTCTATTCTCTTTGCAAGCTTTTGAAATGTGTGGTTTATTTTTCAGCCTTGAATGATCTGCCTGCACTCATGGGAGGCAGAGAATCTGTGTAAAAAACGAGTACGTAATGATTTTAAAATGCATAACCCTCTGCATTCTCTGACTTATAAGATGAGTGATACAAACATAATCAATAATTAGAAGAGCCAGCTATGAGACTCCACTTCCTTGAAAAATATCAAAAGGGCAGCATGAGCGTTCCTTGGAATGGCCTTGCTAGGGTACCTTCAGTGCAGAAATGGCTAAAACTGCAAAACAAGAACGTTTAGTTTGACTGGGACTTACTTCAACATGATGGAGACTATTCCTAGCTATATTCTTTGCCATTTTCTACCTTTCTCAGTTACTCTTTAAAACATCTCTCGTCATGTTAGAATCTTCACTTTCTACCAATGACCGGGCTTTCAAGGGCTTTTGCTCCCTACAGCATTGTAGAACAGTTGCCGATGGAGATAATTCTCCTTGGAGAGCATCTCAACTAATGGAAACTAATCACCGACTGCTCTGCAGGAGCTGGCAAACGTTTTGAGTTTGCTGTGCCAGCAGGTGGATGTATGGCCCATTTTTAACGAGTGAAAAAGAGGAGGAGGAGAAGGAGGTGATGAAGAAGAAGACTTCTTCCAATTTTAAGGAATGGAAAGGGGTCCGAATGGACAGGGGTCTGATTGTGTCCAGCTGTAGCTGGCTCTTGACCTGTCTGATATACAACGCAGGAGCAGATTTTCAGATATTTTATTGTTACAATGGCTTGTCCTGCAAGGCCAGTTCACACAACAGAAAATGATCTATGGTGAATGTCATATGTTTCATGTGCATAATTAGTTACCATACCTTCCAACATTCCTCAGATGAAAACAGGAACATCAGAAACATCTAAATATCAGAAAGGGGGCAAGATTAGACACAGATGCACAAAGCTTTTTTTGGGGGGGGGGGGGGAGACAAGTGTCAGCTCATCCTTCCCCCTGAGCTTGGCAGCAGCACTGACAGGGGAAAGAAGGACATTCCAGGCTCAAATCCAAAGCTGGAATTGCTTTCGTAATTCTGGGACTGTCCCTGGAAAATTGGGAGACTTGGAGGGCATGAGTTCCTACTGATTTTACCATAACGTACGTAAGTTACCAGTAGCTTTTTCTTTGCATTTCACCATTTCTCATTTTTATTTATTTAAAACGCTAATAAGCCACCTTTTTTTTTTTTTTTTAAGTGAAGCAACCCTCCCAGGCAGCTGAAAGCCAATCTGAAAGGGCAATAACACAACCAGATGACTGGCTGCACCCATGTGGCTGGGGCTGACATTTTTTCATGCCTTCATTTCAAGGCAACAAAGCTATACAATTGGTTTCCCTTATTTAAAACAGTGCAGCTCCATAGCAGGGTGGCACCACAGTTTCTGAATATTCCCTACTTTTGATCTGGAAATCATAGCTGTGGGATGCTCTCTAAATGATTTCTGGCACCCCCTGAGGTGCCTGAGTTCTCCCTGTGTCTTTCTTTCTTTGTCAAGC